GGCTTGTACTGGTTTGTAATTTCCTGTAATAAGTAGCGTGCCGAACGTACTTGCACCGTAGTGACGGCATCAGCTTCACCATGCAAGCGTTTAGACGAAATACCGTTTCGCTTCTTGAACTTAGCGAGCCATCCGTTGCTGAGTCGGAGCTGGTCATTAGTAATCTGAAGTGCCGTTTTAATGTCTCTCGCCTTCACTAGCAAAACGTCGTCCGAAATAATGGTGTTTCCCTCTTGGCGGTGGAAAAATTCGAGAAGCTGTTGCTCTAGTTCAGAAAACTTGACCCGGCGGCGTCGAGTTGTGGACGTGTTTGAACTACAGAAGTATGTAGGAGGTTTGTATCGGATTCGGCGAATTGTACTAATGCTAACGGGACTTCTTAAATTTAGCCTGGACCCAATCAATCACGTCCGCGTTCTGGATATTGGGAGTGCGCTGGATCTTTAAGCTGACCTGCAGCTTCTCGTCCAATGTCAGCGTTTGCAAGGGCGTAGTTGCCATTTTGAGGACTTGGTAGGGACTTGTTGGTTGTGCGGCAGAAGTGATAATGTCAGGATTGGCTGAGACACGTGACTACATAGAGAGGTTTTCTTCTAAACGTGGGTGTCATTTAGCGAATAGAGAGGTTTTTGTGCAGATAAAGGAGGAGCATACTGAAACCTATACAAATTGTTTTGCATAGCTTGTGCCCTAGCATTTGAAGAGTGTATATTCAGTTAGGGGGGGTTCAAATAGGGAGGTGTGACTGTACTTCAATGGGACTTCCTTGATTGCGTACATGCATGATTATACGGCTCCGCACACTTTTTCTAGTTGTTGGTCAATCATAATTTTTCCGCCTGTAGGTAGCTGAGGGAGATAAAGTCATTGGTCATCACCATGCGTTTGGTTGCTACCTTATTAGCAGCTACGATCGTTATTCTCGCAACCGAGAATGCATTTCCAACAATCCGGAACGAGATCCATCCTGCTGAACCCAGCGATTCAAGCAGCAGGCTTCACGCCGAAAGTGGCAGCTACAACTACGAAGAGCACTCGGGGATTACCGGTAGCAGTAATTCTGACATCGACAACAATATCGATGAGGAGCGCGGATCCCCGCTCGGGACTGATGGCTTAAAAGAAGAAGAAAGAGGACTTTTTTCCTGGTACTTCCTGTTGGGGCCGTTATTCAAATCTCCTGAACGAGCCGAAGCGGTTGAAAAGTTCGGAAACGCTCGTATTTGGCCTGCCATTCGCACCGAGAAATTGGAAAATGGCCAAGAGCTTGTTATTCCCAAGGTGTTTAAGGCGAAAAACGCTGGAACTGGGAAGGGAAAAACAACATAAACGCAAAATTTGGATGGTAGGTTTTGCTGGACGATATAATGCAATGCAGAAGCTTTTGAAACGCGATGTGGAAGGTGGTGGTGGTGTTATGAGCGGTATCTCCAATGGATGAAATAAATCTTTGTGGTGTCGGGAAGCGCCCAGAATCGGAGGCGCCCTCGCCGCTGCTGTTGCTGTCGTTGGAGACTGACACGGATCAGATTTGTGAAATGTGTGGCCGATCGCTGAATGGCTCATCAGATCCCGCAGTGAAGTGACAGTCATTAGTACGAGGCAGTGTGGCGCACACCACTGGTTGGCCGTTGGACACGACTGGTCGTAACCGGATGGTATCCGGATGGCGACTCCTTGAGACCTCGCCCAACAGTCGCCGACACCTCGTTGGTTACCAGATCTCATCCATAACGGACAAGTTCA